TCAGAGTCATCTCTAAGCCACTCTGATGTTGTCTTGGCTGTGTGAGGGAAGGTGAACATGTGGCCTAGTGCTCTTGAGCAGGTTTTCATTAAGCATCTGTATTTTGGTGCATTCAGCTGTCCTTCTACATAGACCAGTACCTCAGTCTCCACCACTGAAAAACAGCTCCAAATCATGATGCTAGCACCACCATTCTTTATTGCTGTGATGGTGCAGGTGATAAGCAGATCCTGGTTTCCTCCAGATGTCATGCTTGGAATTTAGGTTCATCAGACCAGAAAATATTGTTTATCACCGTCTGAGAATTCTTTAGGTGCCAAGCAGGCTTTCATGTGTCTTGCACTGAGCACAGGCTTTTTCTTCAGGTTTTTCAAGTTTCTTCTGGAGCTCAACCACTGTTGATTGTCAGGTTCTTGGTAACTACTCCTCCAAAGGCCTTTCTTCCCTGATTGCTCAATTGGGCCAGACGACCAGCTCAAGGAAGAGACCTTTTTGTTCCAAACTTCTTCCGTTTAAGAATTATGAAGGCCACTGTGCTCTTCAACATTCAATGCAACCAAATATTTTTGTAATCTTCTCCTGATGTGTTGCTGGGCACAATCCTGTCTCTGAGCTCTGCAGGTTCAGATCTGCATCAGATATGCATTAGATAAGTCTGAGAATTAAAGGGTTAGTTCACCCAAAAATTAAAATTCTGTCATTAATTACTCACCCTCATGTCGTTCCAAACCCGTCAGACCTTTGTTCATCTTTGGAGCATCGTGTACTAAGACCGACGGAAAATGAAAAGTTGCGATTTTCTAGGCTGATATGGCTAGGAACTATACTCTCATTCCAGCGTAATAATCAAGGAACTTTGCTGCCGTGCCATGGGTGCAGCAGGCGCAATGATATAGGCGCTATGAAAATAGGCTTATTAGAAGTTACCTAGCTGGGGGGACTATTTTCAGGCGCTGCGTAATATCATTGCGCCTGCTGCAAAAGTTCAGCAAAGTTCCTTGATTATTACGCCGGAATGAGAGTATAGTTCCTAGCCATATCGGCCTAGAAAATCGCAACTTTTCATTTTCTGTCGGTCTTAGTACACGATGTAACTACAAAAGAGTCAAGTTTTAAATAGGAAAAATATAGAAACTCTTTGGTCATTTTTGAGCGAGATGCTAACGGTCTAATCCGATTCAGTGATCTATGCTAAGCTACAGCTAAAAGTGCTACCGCCAGACCCGGAGATCGGCTGAATGGATTCAAAAACGGTAAAACTCAACTGTTTAACTCTAGGGGAGTTGGAAAATGAGCCTATTTTCAAAAATAGTGGAGTGTTCCTTTAAGATATTTTCGATAAAATCAGAGAGCTTTCTGACCCACCATAGAAAACAAAAACAATGACTTTATTCAACAGTTTCTTAGTATATGAGACCATGAGCCGCACTCTAAAAAAATAGTCTTCTTTTTACATTTTATTTTACATTCATCACCAATAGGAAAAAACACAAACGTTTCGGCTCAAGGCCTTCTACGGTGTGTAAAGCAATTCAATCCCTCCACCCACTTTTTAAATTATTAATTATATCGTTGTCATTATTAATTAGTCAGTGTTCAATCACTAAAAACACACGTATTCCATTTAAATACTGGACAATTTCCATTTATATACATCAAATTCACTAATACGCTACATAATATACCCATGACTAAAACATGAATTGTGTAGGATCCCACATTTATCACTATTATACAAACAAGCAATTTAATTAAACAATCACCAGTATCTACTACACAAATTACATTTTAAATGTATAACAATGGAAAGTTCAATGATTAAAATCATCAGAAATACATCGTCATAAATAATCACTGATTTTCACACTGTGAATACTCAAGATCTACAACACAAAATATTAAAGATGTATTTGACCAATTAAAATTCATTCAATTCATTCAACAATTTCTTCTCTTCTGTGTCAGTCTCCGCCGCGTTTTCACGAAACTAGCACAACGTATGCGGCATTCTGACATGGAACCCAGATGCGCTGCGCTGTGTTTACAAGCAGAGGAAGATGCATGCTGTATACAAGCTATTGAATTCTACATTGATTGTGCTTTGTCTTGGTGTAGTCTTTAAAATGGTGCTAAAGTGTGCACTGGATGCCCGAATCGCAGCGCATCCGGGTTTTACATCAGAACGCCGGCTCCCGCGTCAGCAGCACCACACGCATGAGAACTCATGGACGAGAAGAAATGGTTGAATACACTCATTATTTTTGTTTTCTTCACTCAGCAAAAGTATTCTCGTAGCTTCATAACATTATGGTTGAACCACTGATGTCACAGTTTTAACAATGTCCTTACTACCTTTCTGGGCCTGGGTTTTTCAGTTGTGTTGCTGTCTATGCAGGGTCAGAAAGCTCTCGGATTTCATCAAAAATATCTTAATTTGTCTTCTGAAGAGGAACGAAGGCAGCTTGTGGTTGATCTCTTAACAGACTCAGGGCTCCATATCATCGAACCTTCAGACCCGGAGATCGGCTGGATGGATTCAAAAACGGTAAAACTCAACTGTTTAACTCTAGGGGAGTTGGAAAATGAGCCTATTTTCAAAAATAGTGGAGTGTTCCTTTAAGATATTTTCGATAAAATCAGAGAGCTTTCTGACCCACCATAGAAAACAAAAACAATGACTTTATTCAACAGTTTCTTAGTATATGAGACCATGAGCCGCACTCTAAAAAAAAAGTCTTCTTTTTACATTTTATTTTACATTCATCACCAATAGGAAAAAACACAAACGTTTCGGCTCAAGGCCTTCTACGGTGT